TCTCTCCCATCCCCAAGTCCCCTCGGGGACTGTCTAGGGACATCCCCCAAGTGTCCCCTGTCCCCTTGGCTACACCATAGTTCACTAGTATCTCTCCCATCCCCAAGTCCCCTCGGGGACTGTCTAGGGACATCTCTCAAGTGTACCCTGTCCCCTGGGCTACACCATAGTTCACTAGTGTCTCTCCCATCCCCAAGTCCCCTCGGGGACTGTCTAGCGACATCCCCTTAGTGTCCCCTGTCCCCTGGACTACACCATAGTTCACTAGTGTCCCTCCCATCCCCAAGTCCCCTCGAGGACTGTCTAGCGACATCCCCCAAGTGTTCCCTGTCCCCTGGGCTACACCATAGTTCACTAGTGTCTCTCCTATCCCCAAGTCCCCTCGGGGACTGACTGGCGACATCCCCTAAGTGTCCCCTGTCTCCTGGACTACACCATAGTTCACTAGTGTCTCTCCCATCCCCAAGTCCCCTCGGGGACTGTCTAGGGACATCCCCTAAGTGTTCCCTGTCCCCTGGGCTACACCATAGTTCACTAGTGTCTCTCCCATCCCCAAGTCCCCTCGGGGACTGTCTAGGGACATCCCCTAAGTGTCCCCTGTCCCCTGGAGTACAGGATAGTTTACTATTGACTCTCCCATTCCCAAGTCCTCTCGGGGACTGTCTAGGGACATCCCCTAAGTGTCCCCTGTCCCCTGGGCTACGCCATAGTTCACTAGTGTCYCTCCCATCCTCAAGTCCCCTCGGGGACTGTCTAGGGACATCCCCCAAGTGTCCCCTGTCCCCTTGGCTACTCCATAGTTCACTAGTGTCTCTCCTATCCCCAAGTCCCTGTCTAGGGACATCCCCCTAGTGTTCCCTGTCCCCTGGACTACACCATAGTTCACTAGTGTTTCTCCCATCCCCAAGTCCCCTCGGGGACTGTCTAGGGACATCCCCTAAGTGTCCCCTGTCCCCTGGAGTACAGCATAATTTACTATTGTCTCTCCCATTCCCAAGTCCTCTCGGGGATTGTCTAGGGACATCCCCTAAGTGTCCCTGTCCCCTTGGCTACACCATAGTTCACTAGTGTCTCTCCCATCCCCAAGTCCCCTCCGGGACTGTCTAGGGACATCCCACAAGTGTCCCTGTCCCCTGGGCTACACCATAGTTTACTAGTGTCTCTCCCATCCCCAAGTCCCCTCGAATACTGTCTAGGGACATCCCCCAAGTGTCCCCTGTCCCCTTGGCTACACCATAGTTCACTAGTATCTCTCCCATCCCCAAGTCCCCTCGGGGACTGTCTAGGGACATCCCTCAAGTGTCCCCTGTCCCCTGGGCTACACATAGTTTACTAGTGTCTCTCCCATTCCCAAGTCCTCCCGGGGACTGTCTAGGGACATCCCCTAAGTGTCCCCTGTCCCCTGGACTACAGCATAGTTTACTATTGTCTCTCCCATTCCCAAGTCCTCCCGGGGACTGTCTAGGGACATCCCCTAAGTGTCCCCTGTCCCCTGGACTACAGCATAGTTTACTATTGTCTCTCCCATTCCCAAGTCCTCCCGGGGACTGTCTAGGGACATCCCCTAAGTGTCCCCTGNAAGCAAACACAGTTCACCTTCAGCCATTTCCCCATCAACGCGCGGTATGTGAGAGAAGCCATTTCAGTGTTGTGAACGCCCGGGGGGGGAGACTCCGGTTTGAAGAGTACGGGAGGATGCTCGTCGGATCTTTTAGGGGTAAAAATTCGTGATTGTAAATCTTTTAGGGTGCTAATTTGGAGTTTATGGAAATTTGCATTTTCTGCAATCTCTTGTCGGAAAAGAATGAGAAAGAGTGTATCGATAACGCGATATTCTGTCGCGTTTTGTTTTGCCATTAGATATTTTATACATTTTATCATAGGAACTGATGTAACAATATTTGTAGTGTAATCTCTTTAATTAGGGGTTAAAAATCAGTCAGCCACGCCCTTTTTTCAAGACTTCCAGGATATTTTAGGGGTATTTTTGAAAATTTCCGACGAGCATCCACGGTACTTTTACCCCGGCGTCCACCATTTGACTATTTATATAGCAATCCCAAATTGCTGTCTGTAAACTGGACATGTAAATGTACCTTATGTAGTCAATGGTTGAGTTGGGGCCAAGAGCCTGGAGAAAATCACCAAATGCACATAATTCACAGTCAAGGTTAGTCTCGTATATTTTAAAGTTAAAGAAAGAACAAAGAAAAATTAAAAAAAATGTGTAGAAGCGTGCTCGAGTCGAGAATCGAGCCCGAGATCGTTAGGTCAACGCCGCTATTCAAGTATGATCTTGCGTGTAAAATATGTAAAACAAATATTTACAGAAAAATAAGAATAAGTATATTTCAGTAGAAAAGAAGGAAAGAAAAAAGAATCGCTTAGAAGCGACTATTGAGTCGAGAATCTAACCCGCGATTCTAAGGTCGACGCTATTCGAGTATGATAGTCTGTGTAAAAATAAAAAAAACCGGCTCGAAAAAAAAATATCTATAGAAAAAGTCAACATCATTTCAGTTAAAAAGAAAAAAAAAGAAAGAAAAAAATGAGTCGAGAATCAAGGCAATTGTTGTGTATCAAGCCAGAAAACAGAGCGGATTCACGGGTCGTGATGATGCTGAGCACTTATCTAACCTCCGYGCAGTGWTGAATCGGTTACAAGAGCATGGTCTGCGTCTACAGAAGACGAAGTGTAAATTCATGCTAGCTGAAGTCGAGTAAACTAGTGGATACATAGCAGCAACGATCTAAGTTCGACGCAATTCGAGTATAATATTCTGTGTAAAATCAAAGTAATGCCTCGGGAATAATTCTTAAACAAAATCTACAGAAAATCAATATGACTATAACAACTATATTATATTTAAAAAGAAAGAAGGAAAGAAAGAGAGGGAGAAAGAGAGAGAGGGAGAAAGAGAGAAAGAAAGAAAAAGTGCTCGACACGAGATTCGAACCCGAGATCATCTGTTCGAATATCAACGAGTTCTAAAATTTAACAAACGCGGCTCGTAAATATAATCAAAAAATTTGCTAGGATAAACATCTAACATGACTAGAACACCTATATTTCAGTTTTAAAAAAGAAAGAAAGAAAAAAGGAAGAATTTGTCAGACTTGCTCGAGTCGAGAATCGAACCATGGAACTCTGGATTATGGGTCCCTTGGGATTGCTAAACTGCCGACGTGGAAAAAAAAATTAAAAAAGAAATTAAGTCGCTGCATTTTATAACCGTGTAACCGGTAATCAAATACTGATCTATATCTCCTCTTAATGTGCTGTTTACACGCATGGTGGGCATGTGCTAAAACCTGGACTCATGGACGATGGACGATGGACGATGGACGATGGACGAT